GTAACTAGTTTTTTTACTTCCTTATTAATGCAAATGCAGATATTCGGCTCTCTCTATCTCTACCTCTCTCTTACTCTCTCCTCTACTCTCTCTTACTCTTTCGTATTCTTTCTCTAGCTTGCTCTCACTTTCTCTCCTCTCTCTCTCTCTCTCACTCACTTAAAGTTTAGCTCTCTCTCTCTCACTCTCTCTCTCTCTCTCCCCCCCTCTCTCTCTTGCACTCCCTTGCTCTTTCTTGCTCTCTCTCTGTCTCTCTCTCTCACTCACACCATTCCTCTCTCTCTCTCTCTCAGTCACTCTCTCGCCCTCTCTCTCTCTTGCACTATTCCTTGCTCTCTCTTACTCTCTCTTATTCTTTGCCTTGCTTTATCTTTCTCTTGTTTACTCTCACTTGCACTCTCTCTCTCTCTAGATCTCCCGCTCTCTCTCCCTCGCTCTCTACCTCTCCCTATCTCTCTCTCCCTCTCTCTTGCTCTCTCTCTCCCTCTCTCTCTCTCTTTCTTGCTCTCTCTCTCTCACTCTCTCTCTCTCTCTCCCACTCTCTCTCTCACCCTCTCTCTCTCTTGCTCTCTCCCTTGCTCTCTCTTGTTCTCTCCTGTTCATTCTCTAGCTTGCTCTCTCTCTAGCTTGCTCTCACTTTCTCTCTTTCTCCCTCTCTCTTTCTCTCTCTCTTTCTCTATCTCTCTCTATCTCTCTATCTCTCTCTCCCTTGCTATCTCTTGCTCTCTCTTGTTCTTTCTCTAGCTTGCTCTTTCTCTAGTTTGGTCTCACTTGCTCTCTCTCTCTCTCTCTCTCTCTCTCTCACTCTCTCTCTTTCCCTCTCTTTCTCTCTCTTGCACTCCCTTGCTCTTTCTTGCTCTCTCTCTCTCTGTCTCTCTCTCTCTCTATCTTTCTCTCTCTCCCTCTCCCTCTCTCTCTCTCCCTCTCTCCCTTGCTCTCTCTTCCTATCTCCTGTTCTTTCTCTAGCTTACTCTTACTTGCTCTCTCTCTCTCTCTCTCCCTCTCTCTGTCTCTTGCACTCCCTTGCTCATTCTTTCTCTCTCTCTCTCTATCTCTCTCCCTCTCTCTCTCACTCTCTCCCTCTCTCTCTCCCTCTCTCTCTATCTCTCTCTCTCCCCCTTTCTCTCTCTCTCTCTCTCTCTCTCTC